ATCACTTTATATTATAGGTAATGCTGTATTATATTTACTTATTATGATGTTAGGGTCAGTTCAATATATTCTAACGTGTTTCACATCTATGCCAGTTGCAAAATAATTTGTTAAAAATGTTTGAAAATATGATGTTAAATACAAAGCAAAGAATGGAGATAGAAACAAGTGGAAACTTAAATCCAAGCTAGGTGTCTACAATTTGCCCCTATGAATTTTGGACAGCTAGTGCTGCTGCATAAATTAACATTTATTTTACAAACTTTTATGCTGTTGAACCCACAACAGCACAAATTAATAATTGTAACTTATTTTTTCATTATTTTGTATTATTCTGTAAGAGCTGAACCAAGTACTTTCTCTCCACTTACTGCTTAACCTTGATTATTTGATTTTGCAGAAGATGAGAAAGGATATCTTCCTACAATAGAAGCACAGAAACCAAAGTACACTGCTGAAGTTGCTACCGACGTAACCCTCTTTTGTGTGGGGGAAGACGTCAAAAAGGTCTTCAGCACCTTTGTTTTTTGGAAATTCAAAGGAGAAACACTCTTAAATTCTAGTAAACACTACACAGTAAATGATTTTTACACCCATGAGGCAGGGAGTACACCTAAAGTACGAACAGAACTCACCTTGTTAAACTTGAGCTATGAGGATAGTGGAAATTACTCTTGTGTGGTGAAATATGGACGTGGTATTGAAAGTGATACAGTTATACTTGAGGTGGTTCCAAGAGGTATGAAACCATTTTGTTATATAATGAATTTAATAGGATAATGTGATTGACTTGGGTGTGGCACCTCCAAAGAACTGTTTTGCCAATCATGACTGATGTTTGATCAATATTTGACCATGCCTTTTGATTGACTGTATTTTTTTCCCATGGTTAGTGGCACAAGTGGCATTTGACACATTAACCCTCACCCTTAAAAATAGTACTTCTTTTAAAATTTACTTTGTGCTACTTTTGAGAGAACCTAAGCTTACAAGCCATAATGGATTTTATTTTGTTTCCTTGCTCTTAATCTGGTATTTTTTTCTTTACCAATTGTTACATTTTACATGTAATGGCAAATGGAATAAATAAGTTTTGTACTGATCAGTGATGGTACACTGAAAATGATAGCTGCAGGATAGGAATTCAGGAAGCCACCACCCAAGCTCACCCCCTTTCCCCCTCCCCCACCCATACCCCATCCCCTTCCCCTACCCCCTCCTTCTTTGCCTTACCCCCTCCCCCCTTTTTACCTTAAGGTCTGCATCCACTGCTTTATGAATTAAAATATTTTTGTTTACATCAGAATGCTTGATAAACACTAATTTTTGTTTCAAACCAAAAATTGAGATATTTGGGTGTAAAAAGCTATGAGTGAAATGAGGTAGCTAGGCCATTTGATTATTTATTTATTTTGTAACATTTTTACAACATTTGAAAGAAATGCAGTGGTTAGTAATCATTCATTACTTATTAATCTCCAGATGGCAAGATGAAACTATGGTTGATTATTGTCATTTCTCTTGTGGTGTTTTTGGCACTGGCTCTTGTGGTTTTAATCTTTGTTTTGTGGTGTAAGAAAAGACACTGGCAGAAAATGAAAGCTGCTGCTGAAAAATGTAAGCGACTCCATTTTGATGATAAAAACACATAGCACAAGGGCATATTATACTGCAAGTCATCAGGGGCACTGTGAATATGACAATTATTCCCTCTTTCCTTGTGCAATCCCTAGCTTAGGGGAGTAGAAAAAAATATCCTGGCCTTTGATGAACTCAGGCAAGTAAAGCATTTAGTAAAGAGCTCTGAGTTAAAGCTGTGTGTGGACACTTTTAGGGAAATTCTATCAACTGGCACCGTGGTTTTTTTTTTATGTAAAAAAGGCACTACTTACAACTGACATTTGTGAAGAGATGTCTCTCTCTTCTTTACATCAGGGATTTGTTGGTCCTCTTTAGCACTCTCTCTCTCTCTCTCTTTTTTTTTTTTTTTTCGGGGGGGTGATACTCTGTCTTGCACAAGCCATGTAATGTGCCCATGACTCCCCTCAACATGGAATTGTTGCCAGGTGTACCTCGTTTTAAAGGTTATCAGCATGGCTCAAAGTGCCCTTAGATGTATCAAAATTAGCATGTTACTTTTGAAAACGTGTGGTGGTGCTACTAAAAAACCATTCTGCATCAGCGCTCCCGTCTTCGCCGGAAATCTCCATTGGAATAATCACGACCAGTTATGAATTTCAAACTGAGATGACGATGGTATCGCATTTGGCTTTGAATCGTGGACCACTGAAAATTTCAAGTAACGCGCGAGATTCGTATCACGTCATTCCCAGAATGCCAGTTCCCTTTTCGTTTGTCTGAGAATTGATTGTAGAGTCTAGACTTGGTATTATTTCTGTTAGTTTTTCTTATGGAAAATTAATCGGGCATACTCCCTTATGGTATATTTTGAGTTTTTTGGTTGAGTTACAATTTTGCTCACTTTTTTTTTCACAGATGATAATGAGGATGGCTTCTTCACAAAGGACGTGTTCATTTCGTACAGTGGCAAAGATTACGATTGGGTAAAAGAACATTTGATGCCGCTGCTAGATCACAATCAAATCGATTATATAATTCATTCGCGCGATTTCGAGCCAGGGAAAGCATGGATCGAGAACATGGCTGACAGTGTCTATAACAGCAGAAAAGTGATGTTGATCATGTCCGCGAACTACCTAGCCAGCGGATTCTGCAAGGATGAGATGTACATGGCCACTCACCGAGAGTCGGCGAGGAACGATGCTTCATTAATTGTTGTGCGCATTGACCCCAACATCAAAACCGCTGACCTACCAAAGATCCTACGGCACCGCACCTTCATCGACGTGACCAGTCAAGAGGAAGTCACCACTTGGAAGGGGAGGATTCTAGAGTACGTGCGCTCAGATAGTAGACCTGTACCCCTTCCTCGGTCTGCAATCGAAAGCGTTACGTCAAACGAAAGCATGCAATTTTCAGAAACGAGGACTCTTCTCTCGATTTTTAAGTTGAAGAAGAAAAAAAGGGTGCAGAAAAATCTGAGTAATGTTGAACGAGAGCTTTCTCATCAAGTTTGATGATGACGTTGATTCACGTCATTGTTTGGCAGAGCTTTGTAGCCTCGTTAGGGTAGTTTCGTCAGGTATATCGCCCGATACTCGACCATACTTGATCAAGGGTCAGTCAAGATTTTTGCAAAATATCGATATGCAATCGGTATCGATCGATGCAATTTTCGACTTTCGACCGACAATTGAGCTATTATCGACTAAGTATCGAGCGACACATCGGATGAAACAACCCTAGCGAAAAATTATCCGATCAAAGGTCGGTGTCCATCATTTCGCCATCATACGGTAAAAAAAAATCCCGTCAAGCATGAATTGAAGTTTTTAGATCTCTTTAGCATGGACTTCGATCATTGATGTAGCATGAGGTCCTTTAGTTAAAACTGTACTGTGCAGTATAAATTCAGGCAAGATTTGCGCGCGCTCATGGTGTGAAGGGTTTTCTTGGATAAGGTTCAATGGTTTCCTCGTTTTAATACTTTAAGTCTATTTGTAATTTAATCCTTAAAAGTTTTATTGGGGGTATTTGACTTTGACTGTTTTGACTGAGCGTCATTTTTTGAAAAATCTCAACGTTGTTTCTCAAAGTAGGTATGTCTGGATGATGCCGACCAGGTTTTGCTCAGAAGTTATCATTCGAATTTTTGTTGTCGGTTTTTTGTTCTTCTTTTGTTGACGCAAACTATAGTTTGTTTTTATGATGCGAATTGTCCAGTAGGGGTGCAGATGGGGCTACCACGCCCAGTAAAACTAAACATATCTAATGTTAAATTAAGCATCTTTTAGAAGAAGTTAGCAGGAGGAGACGTTGTAGCAGAAGTGTTTGAAGTTAGTAGCGGCTTGTTAGAAGACGTAGACTTCGTGGTGTCTTCCCTTGACCTTGGTATGCTCGCCTTTTCCCCAAAACAACATTGCAACACACACGAGAAATGGTGACGCTTCCTTGTTAGTCAGTATGATAATCTAGTACCCAACCCGTGGAGAAATCTGCGATTATTCATTCCAATTGACTCCTCCTAAAACCTCTCGAGGCCTGATCAGGTGGTGTTAGGAATGCGGCGCAGAAGATAAAAGCGTGTAAGCCACGTACAATTGGTTTTGCTTGTACATAACTGCTTGAAAAGCAGTTTGTGAGTATACTGGTAGAAAAAGGGAAACGATCGTTTACCAGTTCTGAATGTTCAACAAATTCAGCCAATGTTTCTCGCTTTATGATTTTTTTCTGTCATTACTAATAATATTTAAAATAGTATACTGTTTTGTATACTTTGAGGAAAATGTTTGACCTTTTCCTTTGCTATTTAATTTATATGGTTATTAGATTATTTAAATGCAGTCAAAATTGCTCTGGCATGTTATTATTGACCTACAGGTCAACTGACACTAGTCTTTGAGTCCCAGGTTTTTAGAGTAGTCGAAATGGAATGTCTAGCTCGTTATCTGATTGTAGATAATTCTTGCTTTGTACTGGATATCCATAGACTTTTGTTTTGTTTTATTTGTTTTTTCACAAATAAAAAGGTTAAAACTTTAATTTCAGAACTCTTTGTTAAGTTTTGTCTTAAGCTAAACAAAGAGCGCTTTACTGCCATTAGCAGTGGAACGCCAGTGGCAGTAGAGACTATAATCTAGTCGGATCATGTGTACTATAGGGTCTTGAGTCTGAAAAGGAAAAAGTCTTCCAGAGCGGACAACTTGCATAACATTCAGATGAAAGACAGCCTGTGACTGAACCACCCCGGCCACGAATCTTAGAAATGCTCGTGGCGTTCTACGGAAGGCGTTAACAATGAAAGAAGAACAAGCTTTATCTCAGTGTTACGCTCTTAGATACCAAGCTAGTAAGACCGTGGTCTTCATGTCACGCTCTCAATGTGTCTCCCCAAGCCTCACCCTTTGAATGGAAGATTTGTGTCGATTGCATTGTATGACACAAGGACCATGACAATTTGATTGTGCCAATTTAGTTTGTATACATACCAAGACGTCTTGGAGAACGAAAACATTCATCTTTTGGAAACAGAAAAAAATTATATCGATAAGAGCTTGATCACACAGATGTTCATATCTCCGACATCAGATGGTACTATTTATGAGTGGATGGCTCCAAATTCTCAAATGTTGTGTGCAAATTTCCAGTGAACGGAATTATTGCATTATATCATTTATTAGGACATTGGATACATTTCAACATTCTGTAATCAGAGAGACTGCTGGTGAAATTTGTGTCCTTATTTAGTTTTCACGTGAAACAACTTTCGTTTTCGATACACGCAACAAAACGGAACGTTCTCATCCACCGCTCTCAGTGTCGACAGATTATCAGACATGCAGAAGGTTTATTTCTTTGTGCCTAATTTGATTGGTGAGTGAGAACATAGCCTTCAGGAGATAAATGTTTTCGATAATTTGTCGGGGTATGCTCGATTTCTCTGGCAAGTGTCCAGTTCAATTTGTTTATCTAGCCAGACCTTTTAACCTTTGCAAGCTGTGTCTCGGAACCAAGAAAACGTGAGTAACAGGTAACGAGTAACGGACTGCGGGTAGCCAATCAAGGACCTCCTCTGATCTGATTCATGTAATAATTCTTCCCTATGTCCGTGACATATTCTCTTAGAAGTAAGTCATGAGGAGAAACTTTGTGTTACATCTAGAAAGTCTTTAATGTTCAAACCAGAACAACTGATTTATGAACTAACAGCTGGGGTCACTTAGTACAGGGGAAATGTTACTAGATGATGGGTCGCCGAGCGTGACCGACTTTTCTTAAAAAGAAATAATATGTTGTCATCTTTGCGTGCACCGCGAGGAGAAAGTGAAAGGTGTCAGTTGTTTTTTCATTGTTCATTCACTTCTGTATTTCTTTACCCATTTTCACAGATTATGTGCGGATTATTTTAACTCTAGCGTCGTTTTACAACATGACGCGTAGGCCACTTCTTACTGTTGCACTTTATTTCACCGGTGGAATAATATTAGACGTTGCAGATGGAGTATCAGCCCGATACTTTGATCAATGTAAGTAAAGAGAGCTTATGATTGATGCCTAAGACGCAGCCCATTTGTACTGTTTAAACTTCTTCATAAGGTGGTACAACCCTCAAAAAATCAACATTTTTTCATATGTTTTTTTACACAAATTTATCTATATCACCTAAAATGACACATGAAGACAACTGTATTTTTGCAGTTTTTGACTTGATATTTTATTATTGCTGCTGAGAATTAGCAAATGATGCCCCCCGGTGGGCAACCAAACAAGAACAGTCATATCTCTTTAACATTAGATTAAAAATTCACAAAATTTTTAGACAATGATCTTCACATGCACCTGCATGCAATGAACTACAGAAACACCTCTCAGTCATATAGAATGGAAAATATTAAAGAAAACACAACAACTTTCAGGAATTGATAAGATGAGCAATCTCATTTTGGTCATTTAACAACAAAAGATGCACCTAAGTGTATGTTTCTAGTTCATTGCATGCAAAAATATTCAGAGATCTCTCACTCCAAAAATGAGAAGAATTGAATAAAACGCTGGAAAGTTATCTTTGCTAGCGTGTCGGTAGTTTCATAAAATTCGAAATTGAGAGAAAACTGGTTTAAAGTTTTTAAACTGATTTTTTCAAGACTTAAACACAGTTTCCATGAATTGAATTGTTCAAAACTGACCAGGGCCATAGCTGACTCCTTCAGTTTGCTTATTATGGTCATCTTTTTGTTTTTTAAGGCCCCTAATCACTTTGCGTCGCTTCTTGGTAGTAGCTTTGCTTTTATGTTGTGCAATATTAACTCTAAGCTGGTCTTGGAGTCTGCAACCATAATGGTATATTTGCCAGAAGGAATACCAAGGGCTTGGAAAAGCTTAATAATACTAATTGAACCAATATTAAAATAAGAAACAGCATCATAAAGTCCTAATTCTAATGTCTCCCTTCCAACATAAATTTCTTTTGGAATCCTTTGCCATACCATCCCATTCAAAGACTCATTTTGATTTTGTGTCTTGCCATGTAAGCACTTCTGCAATAAGTTGTTCTCACTAAGTCAAATATATTCAGGCTTTAGCTTGGCAATAACAGGTAAAGGAAGGCCAGGTCCATGCTTAAAGAGATTCGTATGGTTGGCTTTGTCCTTTTGATACTTGCACCAACTTGCACTACCTGTTGGGCAGTGGTCATGAAGTGGGCGTGCCTCACTTGAGGCACAATGCATGAGGCTAGCATGGATAGCTTTCTTCATTCCAGCCAAATTTCCAACATTGGATCTTATGGCAATGCCATAATAGTTCTGCAGTTTATCAATTAGACTATCTGTGAGTTTCCCTCTGCCTCCAAGGCTTGGATTGTCACGCTTTAATTTGCGAAGTGCAGTTCCAACCCTCTTCTGCACATGACCGATGCATTCTTTCTTTTCCACTAAAATTCCAGCATCTTGATAAATATTCTTTATCCTGGAAAAACTCTTGCTGTCCCCATCCCCATAAAATTCAGTGTACCTGAGATTGTGCAGCTCAACAGACCTTTGAAATATGCGCTCTGCACCCTCTGGTTCCATTGCAGGTGCTGATCCCTGGAAATTTGACTTGCAAGTGGTGTGATCAGCTCTCCACATCTGATATTCGAGAGAATTCTTGTCCATTTGTTCATGCCGCTCACACTGTTTGCATCCTTGGCTTAGGGCCTCCACATCAAGAACCTTTCCTGTGTCCATGGATATGACAGTCACACAACCATTGCGTGACGAGTAGCCTCTCTTTTGCCATGTTCCGTCACAAGAAACACCACAGTTCACAGGTAGACTTTCAGAAGAATTTACATCCTTCTTGAGAGATAAAACTTCTTCTCCCGCCTTTTTCATTGTTTCCTTTGCAATCGCTTTCATGTGACGGCCGATTACGCGCGAGTTGCTGAGGAAAGCTTTCTCAGTTGGAGGTGGAGGCATGTTCATAATTGTGCAGAGTTTCCTTGCACCAGCATAACCCTTTCCAAGAGTTCTCATACCATAAACGATTCGCCGATTTACTTCAAAACTCTTTCCTTGCTTTTTTGATGTGCAAAATGATTGTTTCCATCCACACTGCTCGCACAGCAAACGCAAAGTTGACGCACATCCCTTCCGTTTCAAATTATCTTCCATAAACAAAAGACTGAAATCGCCGCATTCGCCACAACGTAGCAAAGAAAAAACGGACGATAGCACCTCCATATCACAGAACCTGAACCCTGTAATGGATGGACTGGTTTCCTCTTTATCTACCTTGATCAGCTTAGGCTTGGGTTTGTCTTCTTGGGAAGTTGATTGAAGCTTTCGATACGAAGCCGAAGATTCCTTCGCTTCGCTTTGATCATGTAAAATGCCGTCTGTGGATTCACGTATCCCACTCGAAGCGCTTTCGACAGCAATCGACTCTTCTTCGTTAATTCTTGGACTATTTGTAAAGCGATTTCCATAAAATTTGCGCTTCTTGCGTCTCTGAGACGAAAATTTCGGCATTTTGATGATTGAAGCTCTCTCACTTGCGAAAATTCCCAACTGAATGATTGATAATAACCGCTGTTCACCGAAACATATCAAAACGAGGCTGAAAGTCATTATTGGGCCCCAGTCTCTCAATAGCTTACTCAAGACGCAATCAGCTTGCTTTGATCTGGGAGGAAATCGCACTTTTAGGCCCTAAAAGGACGCATTTAAAAATGCGTTTCCATGGCAACGGAACAACAGTGCCTTAGAAATTGCATTTTATTACTATTTCCTGACAAATTATTCACAAAAAGACATTTGGGGCGATTAAACAAAAGCCTTTAGAGGTGAAATCAAATGAAAAAAAAAATGGACTCATTTTCAACAAAAAATGCGTTTTTTTTTGTATCGTACCACCTAGCCAATAGTGAAAGTTACTATTTATTTTTGTTCTTGTTTGATTCTAGGTTCCAAATTTGGAGAGTTGTTGGATGTTCTTCTTGACAGGTATTTGTACCCTGTATATTTTTTTTCCAGGGTCCTGTAAGGCACTCATGGACACACACCCTTGCCAACGTCATGATCTTGAACCGCGTTGTGAGCAAATGCCACAGTCATCATTGTTTTCAGGAATGGTTGAAAGAAAGACAGACATGGTTTTAAAAGTAAATAAGCCAAATTTTAATTGCAGTTTCATTATGGGCGAGGAACTATGATATTTACCAACATATACTTGCTCCTATCTTGTGGTTCTTCTCAGGTGTGGTAGAATAGGAATGATGATGGCATTGTGTACCTTCTACCCTCAACACCTGTTTTTATTACAGCTGCTGGTTTGCTTAGAAGTCACAGGGAGTTTTGCAAATCTTTACAGGTACAGACTGTAGTTTTCCCGTTATATTCTTGCCATGTCTGCGACGAAAATAGAACTAGACGCTGAAGTGTTACCAAACTAGATAATTTTGGAGTAGTAGACCTTCGTCAGAGCGAATTAGTTAGCCCTTCGTCATTCGCTTTAACAAAGGGCTAACGCTCGAAACTTCAGCTTAGAAACTCTTTATGGTGGCCAATTCACATTATGGACTCAGGGGATAAAATCAAAATATCTTATCATACTGCCCTACTGACACAGCACCTAAGTTTCTTTAGAAACTTACCCATTTACTCATGTGTTACCAAACAACTTCGGGTGGTCATAAACTTTAAGTGTTTTTTTCTGGTATTTTTTTTTGATAACAATCACCTTCAAACTTCTCGTTCTGGCTGTTTTATTTGTCTTTGTTCTCTCTCTTCTTCCCTATACAGAATTTGATAATGTTCTCAATGGTGCATACTTTGTGTGACACCATTCTTTGCCAAATACTTTCGACAGATGTGCGCTAATAACACATTCAGTTGATGTTTCTGCAAAGACACGCTCGCAAGATCCATGGCTGGTGAGGATTTTCTTTAAGGAAGTAAGTCAACTGGTTATTATACTATGATTTAGTCTATAGTTTTTCCAAAATTGAAGAAAGATTTTTTCCAAAAAATTCTAAGATGAGAAGGTTCTAATGTGATATTTATGATTTATCAAAGATATTTTTCAAAGGCTTTTTCTCTTGAAGAATTGAGAGAGCGCTGGTAATGTGAATGAGGTCGGAATTATATTCGTTGGGAAAGGAACTGAATTTCACAGCTTCTTGGCTACAATTTAACTTCAAAGTTTATCCGCCTCCTCACCTCGCGGAGCAAATTTTCTGTGAGTCGGAGATTGTTGTCTATCTCTCTCAAGAACACCACAAAAGCGCCACCAAGTTTTATTCCTTGTTGTTTTAACTTTGGTGTTTTATTTTTTTTAAATCACAGCCCATTACAACACTAGTAATTGTTGGCCAAGACGTCTGTGTTGCTATGCTGTATCTCCTTCACTTTTCTCCAGGACCGATGGGTACGCCAAACTTTAACTGAACTTATAGGTTTGGGAGATATTTGCGAGAATTTCTGTCTCGCTTGATCACCGGTCGAATGGCGAAAATCATTCTCGTAGAACTATTTTTGCCTAACCTTTTCTTATCTGATTTTGTTTCTTCAGTTTCCCTTGGTGGAACCGCGCACAGTCTTTGGATGCTACTGGCTCAGATTTGTTCTCCTTTTTTAATCTATCGTCAAGTGATTGTCTGTTTCCTTTTGCTCCTTCGATCACTTGGTGACTTAGCTGAACTGCATCATCAGCAACCGAGAAGCGATAAAAAACCTAAGTGATAGCAGTAACGCAAGTATACATTACTGCGATCAAGGATGAAAATAAACGCGAGAAAATAAAAATTATCACAACATATCCAGTGCTAGTGCTAAACTTTCGCGAGATTCTCTTAAAATTTTGTTTAATGAGGACCGGAGCGTCGAGCACTCTTGTTTTATGGGTAATGTAAAGATCTGCCGTCGAGTTAGGTAAAGCTTAGCGTGGAGGGGAAGAGGGGGGGGGGGGGGTGAGGGAGGGGTCCCAGTGTGTCCTTGGTCCCTTCGTTGTCAGATATAGATATAAATCATATAAATTGTTTTGCAAAAACGCGCAGATTAGAAAAATCTACATGACTTACATCTTTTCCAGTGATGGACACTTCTTGCCGCGAATAGCAGCCTCAGGGCTCATGCATAAGAACTCGGACGGTATAAATCTTATAACTTTAAAAATCGTGGAAATTCCTAGTTCAAGGAAGGCTCTCTCCCTTCCCCTGAAAAATTCTTAGTAACGCCTCATGCGAAGGTGTAACATTACTAAAAATAAAAGAAAAAGTGGAGAGAACTTACCCTGAATGCCAGAAAGAAGCTGGCTTGTGATTCCCTCTTATTATGAAATCCTTCCCTCTCATTAAAGTCGCTAGGTCTCAAGTGCCAATAAATGTACACTGTAAGTCGCTAAAACACCTTTTCAGAGATGGGAAACTTGTCACGCATGGAGAAAAAAACCTGATTGAACAGTGAACGGTATATTGAAGGTCACCGAACCATGACTGTAATGAGTAATTTAGTGTTAACAACTGAGTTGAAAACGTAAATTGGCTACCTTAAAGGGTAGCTTTTTTACCCTTTACGGTGGCCAATTTACGTTTTCAACTCAGTTGTTAACACTAAATTACCTGCCATACTCTCCCACCGACGCACTACCACAGTTTCTTTAGAAACTTACCCCTTCTATTCATATGACTGCAGTGAGACGCGTTTGGACTGTCAGAATATAACTCTCGCATTTAAAAGCTCCTTTGACGGTTATTTAAGTTGGCTCCCCTGAAAAATCGCGAGTTTTAGAGGTATGTTTTCGTTTTCTCTCTTATTGTCAATACATTACATTCACGAAAGCGCATTCTTTAGAAGAAATTTGATCTTATCTAGCGCGTTGATGCTTTAGCCAATGAGAGAGAACTGTGTAATAGGGACTGATGTACAATTTGTTGGGGTTCTATACATCCATACACTTTCTTGGGGCAAAGTATTGGGGCTTTCTTGAGTGGGCGTGCAAAACGGTCGACATCAAATCTATAGATCCTAGATCTCCAGAGAATAGGATATCTGAAATAAAAAAAGTAAATACGATCTGTGAAATTCACGAACGAAAATTTGTGGGAAAGAGTGAGGTCGATTGGTTAGTGAGTTCTTGGTAGGGAGGTATTCTGAACACGCAATGAAAGAGATAAAAGTCAGCGAACATTCGTTACATTATGTTTCCTCTTACACCACGTGCTTGGCTCATTGAATTGATCGACCAAGCGCCCTTGTCCTTAATAATTGAAAGCATTGGTCTTCATTTTGGAGAAGTTTTGGGGTTTACTTAAATCTTGTCGGCCAACCTGAGCTTTTGATTATTGAGCGGTCTACGAAAACCATTTCATCGTAGAAAAACCTGGAATCAAACAAACACGAGTTTTTTGTTAGCGTTCTCACTCTTCAACCGGCATCATGACGAGTCTGTGGATGGGAGATGTAAGACACATTTTTTTTTTCTAGAGCGAAATTACAACAGCAATTTTTATCAGGGACATATGCTAAAAATTCTGTTTGTATCGTTGACAGCTTGATAGTTACATGGAAGAAGCCTTCATCACAAGTGCTTTTGCGGCGATGGGAGAAGCTGTGGTGTCCGTAAAGATGATAAAGAACAGAACAACAGGGTAATGTTCTCGCCGTGGTGAAACTATCAAACTATACATGGCCACTGACTTACTACCTAACGGGGAAAGATTTCCTTGTAACCTCGTACTGTTCCAAAGGAAAGCCGTAGTCTCAAAGGCAATCTATTGTTTTTGCCGTTGTTCTTTATCCAAGGACTGAATACAGAATGAAGTTTGAGGCTATGCGGAAATCTTTCCCCAAACGGAATCACAAAATTATCTTCAGTGGTCTTCAAAGCTTGAGGGCATTGTGAACTTCAGTGGCTCTACAGAAAAATAGACCTCACTGCAAGAGTTTATTCCACTTAAATGGAGCAACTATTAGTAGAGGCACTCTTCTTAAGCAGGGTGGTAGCCAGTCTTGGAGTCCTCCCTCCCTTCACCACTGCAAGATTTTGTCAAGTTTCTGTGATTATATGTATGGACAAAAACCATTGTTATTATTGCTGGGTGAAGAGAGATTCTGAAAGAATAACTTGTCTTAAACTCAAACTGGAACATGATGTGATGAACTTTAACCCTTTAACTTGCAGGAGTGACTAACATATCAAGTCTCCTTACAATTTTATTTATAACATAGCTAGTAAATTTGTGTAATCAAATTCAATTGCACGAGCGTGCTTCATATTCCTAATGTGCATGCTCATGATGTCAGCAAACAAATCCCTTGAGAAAACAAATTTTCTATCAGGTTGAAAATGTCATAAAACAATTGGTTCATACATCAGCTGTGCGTTCATCAAGATATGAAGCACTTGGGAAGTTTGGAGAGCACTCAAGAAGCTAGAGTTGCTCAAGGCATAGCTGAGAGAAACTCTTACGCATCTGTTTGGCAGATTTAGCTTTTAGATCTGGAAATTAAAGGGGTGACCAGAATTTGAACCTAGTACATTTATTGATCTTAAGTCTAGTAGAGCAAAAATTCTAGTAATCAGATCCAGACTTATAATAAGTCACATGCCAGAATAATGATAATTAATTGCTCTGGCATATGAAAATGCCTGAAGATTTGTTTGTGTTCATAGCCACATAAAGTTCTCTCAGCCAAATTATAATCACAATCTTTGGAGGGGTTGAGTGAAACTGTTTAGCTCTCTATGCAAGTGTTGAGCATATTTATAAACATATTATATTTGTTTCCAGGACTCCAGCTGGTTACTGTTTTGTTGATTTTGGTGATTATACAGTATCACAGAAGGTTATGGGAAAACTGAATGGATTGCCAATTCCTGGCAGCAATCCAGTGAGTGACTCTAATGACCAGATATTAGAAGTTTTACAACATTGATTGTTTCAAAAATTATTTTTACCAATATCACAGAACAACCTTTTTACAAGAACCTCCCATCCAAGAAATTTGAAACAGATGCACTCAAAAGGAGCTGCCTTATTGGAAAAAACAGAGATCTGCATGTTGGTTGAGATATTTATTATTAGCTCACCAAAGAGTTCTCTGCTGAGAATTGGATTGCAAAACCCAACAGATTGAGGTTTAAATCCCTTTAGACAACTTGCTCTCTTGATCTCACAGTCAACACAAAATTAATGAAATCTTTCTTTGTTTTACAACCAGGCAGGCTCAAACTTTACTAGTTTCTTTAATTATATTTTCACCCACAACTCTTCCAACCAAGCAAATCCTTGCAATATGCTGAACAATTTTTTCACTTAATATGAACCTTGTACACGTATATGGCCTTGATCTTACAGTCAACACAAAATTAATGAAAACTTTCTTTGTTTTACAACCAGGCAGGCTCAAACTTTACTAGTTTCTTTAATTATACTTTCACCCACAACACTTCCAACCAAGCAAATCCTTGCAATATGCTGAACAATTTTTCACTTAATATGAACCTTGTACACGTATATGGCCTTGGATTGTGAAATTTAAAAGTGTGAAATCTGAATCCTTGTAGGAAACTCATAATGTCTTAATTAAAACTTGTTTTTAGTTTCCTTTGAATTATTGGGTAGTGTTGAACTACATGGTTTACATGTTTACTTTTTGTGGAACAAAGTCTTTAAGAGAAATAATTGTGTCCCTTTCTCTGTATAACTATTTTCTTTCTCTCTTTCAGATAAAGCGTTTCAAATTGAACTGGGCTACCTACGGCAAGGACTCATTCACCCAGTAAGTACTTCTTATCCTGATTATTTACTGAGTGCTGCTCGTCAGGACAGTGTATTTACCATGGCCAGCCAGGTTGTGGCCATTTTGCTGGGGCATACTGTAGTTTTGTTAGCATGAAGAAACTAAGAGTATTGTGACTACTATCTGTCTTTTGCTGGTTACCCCTGACAAAGCTCTGACAAAGGGCTAATGCTTGAAAATTTCAGCTTTGAAACTCTTAATGGTGGCCAATTTACATTATCAACACAGATTTTTTTTTTCTTTTTTTTTTTTAAACAATTTTATTCTGACCTTTCATTTACACAGTTACAATTTTACATTCATAAAATAGGTTAAAAATGATAACAATTCGATATATCTAACAATCTTACGCAGTTACCCTATTTTCAGCTTAAGAAATTAAACAAATTAAACTCGTTAAACCAAGCAACATAACGTAAAAAAAAAGAGAGAAAAAACAGGATAGAAGGCAAATCGGCTTAAGATTTTAAATTATTAACCATTCCTTTTCATTTGAATATCCATTTCTTTTCAAAGAAGTTTTTCTTATTTATTTTTCTTTCAATTTCATATTTGATAGCTATCTTGTTCTGATAACCTTGTATTTTAGGGTGTATTTGTTTTCTTCTGCAGTCCCACAAAAACAGTTTTCCGATAATAATAAAGTAATTGAGTAGAGTATGAGTAGAGAAGTACTTTACTCAACTACTCATTATCAACACAGTTGATAATTCATTCTAAATTACCTTTTTATACTCTCCCACTGATGTAGCACCACAGTTTATTTAGAAACTTACCCCCTTTACCCATGGGCTGGACAGGGGCACCTCGCAGTTTGTCAGTATGCATTAAATACACACCTGGGTGGATACAAGTACTATGAAAACAAAGGGCCTTGTCTTAGAATGCAACACATTGATCAAGTAAAGTATCAACCCTGGATCTCTTGACCTGAAGTTCTACTTACTCACTGTTAGGGCCATCCTGCAAAACACTTGACTGACATAGTCTGCCTGTAGTTTTTTAAAATCTTTCTTTGAACTATACAGGGGGCCAGAGTATTCAATATTTGTTGGTGATTTATCTCCTGATGTTGCCGACCATGTTCTGCAGGTAAAATATAGTCACATAAGGTATAAACAAATTGGACTTTAGCAATGGAGTGGCTCTTTGTCCACTGTTTTCCCAGGTTGAATTTGGAATTTAAAAGTTTGGTTTTTAAGGACAGAGGAAAGTGGAGAATGTAGGGAAAAAGCCTTGGGACAGGGAAATGAAATGGAACCAACTCAATGAAGATGTGAGGCTAGGCCATGATGTTGGATGGCAGGGGCTCTTATCTGTTCATCATCCCTCTTCCCTGTGTATCTTGAGAAAGATTTTAGATTAGTGATATTAAGGAAATATCAGCAAGCTTGTTTACAGTTATCTGAAGACAATGAAACCCCTCTTTTGAGACATTGCTCTTCAGGGTATACCTCCTTTCTACCAGTGGTCATTGACTTTAGTCAAAAGTGAAAAAAAAATGCTGCTATAACATTTGTATCGGACATTTCACTTTGAAAGTAACTTTTTTCAGGTGCCACTTTTGATAGTCCTAAATGTGTTCCCAATTTTGAGAGTTTACAGTATTTTAATGCCACATCCAAGGTGTAATGCTCTTCACATGATCTTCTCTTTAATGCCCAAAAGACTGTACATTTATGTGGTCAGTTATGGTGTGTGGTACATGTAGATTAAGTTATCTGAGGTAGGGGTTGTTGAATTCATAACTCATCTATATTTTTATTTGTCATAGGAGTTCTTCCAGAGAAAATTTCCCAGTTGTAAAGCTGCCAAAGGTACGAATATGTGGTTGTTCTGATTGCAGAAAAAGGTTTACAGGTCAGGCTATAGCCTCTTAACTGAGATCATGAAAGCTAGACACTGAAACCTTTTGGCTAAAAAGAAGGTGGTCGCTTTTATTCAACTGTTAGTGATGATAGGCACATACGACACAGGTGAATAGTGTTTTTCACATGCACTGAGTGGCTTTTTTTGGAAGTTATCAGCAAGTACTATTCACCTCAGCGCAACCAAAGAGAAAAAAATTATGCATCAAGAGTCAAATTCCCAACAATTTTTTGTTACATTGAAAGAAATAAATTTATTGTTAAATGTTTTTGGTTTCTCTATAGCATATAATGAAGTTATTATTCACTTCAGTGTTGGTAGAAGTGATGGATAATTATATTCCGTGTCGCTCTGCAGCTCGATAAATTTCCATCACCATTCACTTACAGTTCTGCAAATAATTGTAAGTTATAACTGAAGTTAACAGTCAAATTTTAATGTAACCATTAGTGTTTTTTTCTTTGTAGTTGTTTTGGATGCAGCAGGAAATTCAAGGTGTGTTTAACAACACTAAAAGTAAATTTAATTGTTTAAGTATACTAACAGGAGAAAATGTTAATCATGGTGAATTTACATGTTGCTGGTGAAAAGTCAATTTTGAAGGTCACAATGTTCAGGAATTAATATTATTTGAGGCCTTGATAGTCTCTGATAAGGGTTGCATGTGTTAGTCTTAGTTAAAGGAAAACATGATTGCATTCATGGTTATAAACTCTGATTTCTGTTCACATGTTCAACTTTCTTAAATTAAGAACAATTTCTTTTTATAGAGGATATGGATTTGTGAGATTTTCAGATGAAAATGAACACAGAAAGGCCATGATAGAGATGCAGGGAGCAGTGGGGTGTGGTTCAAAACCTCTCCGTGTCAGTGCTGCAACACCCAAAAGGTACCGAAACATTTAATCTAGACTTTTCATAATTTTCATCTTCCCAAATAATACACTTCACTAGTTTTGCGGAGCTCCTTCCAGGAAAATTGCATGTGTGCACATCATTAATTGCAAACTCATTGAACTTGAGTTGAGGATACAGTTGAAAAAAATTCATTTATTTTGGTTCATCAGGCCTCAAAATACTCCAGGAAACACAACAACAACATATGGCTCTGCTAGTGCTGCCAATCAGCAATACATGCAGCAGTATCAGCAATACCAGCAATATCTGGCAGCATGGCAGGGATACCAGCATCAACATCAGCAGCAACTCCAGCAACAGCAGTATTACCAACACTATCAGCATTATCAGCCTTATGGACAGACTACTTACCAACAGCCAATGGTATGTTTTACAAAGAGCAAAGAGTGTGTTTTACCTTCTAATAATGTACAGAAAAAAATAAGTGCTTTGTATTGGCTGAAAATGAGTGCATTCTCATGTAACACAAGAGCAAAGTTGTAGCATGAGTGAAAATTACAAATAGCACGCACATGCTTTCAAACTTTTGTCTGTCTTGACTCTCTATGGTGTTTTTTCATGTACATTATTAACAAGTAATAACATGAGTGCAATTTGGTGTGATAAGCACTTGTTAATTTTATTGTCTTTGAAAAACTTACTTGTGCTTATTAACACCAAATTGCACTAAAAATCATGTTATTACCTATACTTATCAGACACCTTTTAATGTATAATTGTTACAGGGTAATATCTTGTGAATGAACTTTTTCATAGGTTGTGGGTGTAAACTGATGTGGTGTGACATGATTGGAAATTTTTGCTGGGAAAAAATTGTTGTGGTTTTTTGTTCAACAAGCAAAACATTAACCCTTTTACACCTTAACCCTTTAACTCCCAGAAGTGATTAACATAAAACTTCTCCCAACAACATCAATACATTATTCAGCAAACAGGTAATGAGAATATTCAAAGTTATCAGGTAGAAGCTGCTATCTTGATCTAACGCCAAGTTCTCATAACTAATTTACAAGGAAATGTGTAGCAGCTAGAGGGGAGAATTAACAATCAGATCTTGGGAGTTAAAGGGTTAACATCAGTATGCAAGTTCTCCATACTGTTCTGTGTGTTCAACCATCAAGAGCTTCTTGAATTCCCAAATATTTATTTTATTCTCATGACTTTGATGTTTGAATCAGGGGTGATACTGTTTGGAGAAATTAGATGCTTATCACTCTTCAGTTAGATGCTTATCACACCTGGTTAAAGGGTTAACTACTAGGATGAAACATAATGTTTTAACACTTCTTGACATGTCCAGTGATAGACAGGAATGCTACACAAAAGATGAATCTTTTATAAATATTTCCAGTGATACAGAAAGAGATGAGTATGAGTGAAAGATGATTAGGAGTGGCAAACCCAAGGGGGTGGGGTCTAGGGGTGTGTTTGTTTGTTTGTTTGCTTTTTTTCACTATTTATCAAACACCAATATTCTTGTAACAAGAGGATTGTGTGTTACAATTCAAGTAAAGGATTTCATATTTACTTGTGTTGCAAATTTCCGAGCTTATTTAGGCTGTATTTAGGCTGTATTTCAAAAACAAATTATTCTGTTTTCTGAAGTACATTCCTCCCCCCCCCCCCTTCATACTTAGATCTGCCTGCAGGAGTAATGGGTATGAAAGTACTTAGGAAAAGAGCCAAGAAGCACATTTAAGACACTTCACATGACTGCAATACAGGATAATGTAAAAGCAAGGATAACTAAAAAAAGTTACTTCTTTGATTTGTATTGTCAGAGTTATGAAGAAACCATAACAGTTGATAACACAGCAGAAGGTATATATAATTTAACGATAGATTTTATGGTATGAAAAGGACATACTGTGAATACAAATGCAAGGGAGGAAGATACTCACTGAAAGTTGAGTGGTTATTATCAATTAAAAGCACTTTGCAATAAATTCTCAATTAAAATTTCTGTGTCTGATGAAGATTTCTCTCAATTTTAAAGTTTGTAAACTCAGCTGAAAATAATATGCTTGATGTGTATCACTTTGAACAGTAAACCAATGTTAGTTAATTGACAGGACTACATTCTTGATAAGTTTATCTCTAAATAAATGCTCTGCTCTTCCAGATCCCAACCCACCACTGGACATCACTGCAGAAAATAAAAATATAATGTCAACAGAGGAAGTAAGTGTTTTGATGTTTACTTTTAATTTATCGTAAAACAGATTGAATCTTGAATCAATAGATAATTTCTATGTTGTGGTTCAATTTATCTTTTGCTTTAAAATTTCCAAAATGATTTTTGAAAATTGTATTTTCCTTTTCCTTGTATATATTACATAACCCTTGAATCTCACAATGTGTAACTGACAAGAGGCCTACATAGCTGGCAATATTTTTGGAACTTTATTAAAACAAAAGAAGGTTGCTAAGTCACAGAGGTCAGAAGCAGAGGTTTTAGGGGGGAAATTTTCTCATTCCTCTGTCTCTTGTGGCTCTTCCAGTTAAAAAAAATCCTACCAGACAACCACTGTAAAGGGTGGTTCAAAGGGAAGTAAGAGAAGTGATTAACATATGACTTCTCTCTATAATATCCATACGTTATCAGGCATTCAGGTAACAAGAGGACTCAAACTTATCAGGTAGAGGTTGTTCTCTTAATCTAACACCAAATTCTGGTAACTAATTTATAAGGAAATGTGTAGCAGATAGAGGGGAGAATTAACAATCAGATCTTAGGATTTAAAGCGTTAATTGCAAGATAGTGTGGACACAGAAATTTAAATGATTCCTTTCTCCGAATATCTGATTATTTTCCCCCCAAGCTTTTCCCTCCAAGCTTGTTCATCATTTCCTTGCTAAATATTGTCTTGTTGTATTGATATTCAAAGGAGTTACTACCTGGTTGTCAAGTGTAGGTCTTAAAGGTTAAACTAGACCAAACAAAATTTAAGCCTTAGTTCTTTCTCTACTCAAGAAACCCCTCAGATTCAAACAAAAACTCTATTTAGTGGCACCACAGGTTAGACAATGGCTAAAGACAGTTTGCCTCTTTGATACAGTAGATGAACCTCAACAGTAATGTCCATGTTTGCTTTGAATTTGAATTTGTGTGATTGGTCCAGGAAACTTGTGCCACTTTTTCAATAATCAGATCCAAAAGTAACACCATTTGTGACATGGTCACTTGCATTTTCCTGCACTTCAAGAAGTTTTCCATTTCTCACTTTCAATTCTCACTGGCTTTTTGGGATATTTTCCTTTGCTCTGTCTGGCTGTTGTGTTAACCATAGACTTGATTCACAACGCTCAATTGAAATTGCTCCATTGTATATTTTGTTCCTTCACAGGAGTTATACCATGAGTTGGAGCAATCAAGATGGCAGCCAGTAGAGACACTAAATTCAGGACACAAATCTCTTGTGACATAGATGACAAGAAACTTTAAGTGTTATATTCTTGGTTTCTTAACTGACCCTGTTGTTAAAGATACTTTGACGCTTCAATTTATAGTCAAATGCCCAGTGATTCTTCTACTTCTTAAGTTTTAGTCAGCATATTGAAATTTTAAAATATCGAAGACTTATTCATTGTTGAGAATACTTAAATTGATTTTATTTCCAAAGTTTTGTTTGGGGCCTCTCTGTTAAGGTATTGCTATGGTTATGGTTCACGGTTTCTTGTCAGGATAAAACTTTTTTTTTTTTTTTTTCAGTTGGTATTGTTTTGTATGGTAATACGTTTTACTAATGGGAAAATAAATTACAACAAGGATAGCGTTGAACTCCAACCTGAGAATCTGAAGTATATTGCGGTAGACTTTCTGTTAGTTAACCCTTTAACCCCGAAGAATGACTAGCATCTAAATTCTCCTTACAACACCAGCACTGAATCACACATTAATGACATGAGAATAAAGGAAATGATCACCAACTAAAGACACTCTTGATTATTAGACAAATTCTCCTTGTCAACACCTTAGTAAATGTACAGAGAACAGTATGGAGAATATGAATGCTAATGTCAAGGTGTAAAGGGTTAATGTTCTGTTGTGCTTCAGGAGGGCTCTTTGTCACAAATATTGGAGGAGATAGCATCAAATATCAAATGCGTCATTTGGTTTCTAGTTTTTGCTCAGACATATTTGCTATAGGTGTTACCCTCTCAAACCTCTTCTTAGCTCATAGAGGTTACCCCACCTCTGTAAACACCTTTAAGAAAATAAAACGTCATTTATTTATGCATCTGATAACTTTGACAATAAAGCTCTTAATTAGATTATTACTTTTCTCTAAAAATATTTTTTTAAAAATAAAAAGGGATAACTAGCAAAAATCTGGTTTGCAACAGAACTCGGCGATCGTTTTTCAAGGTAACGCCAAATTTAAATTCCTAACAAAATCATTACAACTAGCAATCATTTTCATCGTAAAAGTTTTCCGGTACTTAAGTCTTCCTTGTAGGTTGATAAATATACTTTCGCCCTCTTCTCAGAAAGAAATGTGGCCAGGTAGGAATGTCAATGGTCTCTTCTGAGAAATGTGTTCAGTAGAAGACTTACGTGATATGCTATGATGTATTCGAGCTCAAGTAAAGTCTAACCGAGGAAATTACTTCTTAGTAATAAAAACCGCCATTTTTTGGCTATTAGCGCAGCACGCGAGATAAATACGCAATATAAAATTTAAACAGTTTTGTACGGCGATAAGTCTTAGAATATTATCAGTTGTATATTGTCGATAATCCGTCAATGTTACAAGATATGTACACGTGGCGTACAGGTAAAGTACTAGTGATATCTTTCAAGGGCTCGACGTCTCATCAAGCAACTGTAACAATCCGTGTTAGGTACAATAAGCTAGACGCCAGACAAATACAAATGTTACAAATCGAAACGCTTCTCAGAGGGAGATAAAGTGCGTATTTTGGCAACCTCTTCAGACGACCTCACCAGATGACGGTCCACGTACTCATCAACGTTCAGAAGATACACTCCCGAAGCACGTTCACTACGAAGCGAACGACGACGAGATGCCGAAACTACTGGTTCCGAACGGACCGAGCTAGGAGAATCGATTCCACTCTCTTTGGATGGGTTTCGGTGCAAAGGAAACGAGGATTCCGCGACGTACTGTGAGATACTAGAACCCCCGCTAATACTGCCGTAAGTACGTTTTTTATGGGCGAGGCCTTGTTCTTGTGAAATACGACGCAAAGTTGCGTCGTTAGGTGCAGAAGCGAGTTCGGTCGTTATACGTGACACATCAATAAGACTGAAGGGATCCGCTGACCTTTCATGCGTTCCATTGGCTGTTGAAGTACGTGGATGATTAGCACGCGGATGATAAGCGCGTGGATGCGTGTATTCGTAGCTAAGTTTCCGAAGCCAACTAGTATCCAAGTCGACATTTGAACTGTAAAGTGACGACGGCGTGTTATCCATCGAAGTGAGATTACTCTTCTTTATTTCTTCTTGGTACGCTCCTCCTGCTGGTTGTTTTGGTGGAAACTTTTGCGCATCTGTAGCATCACCTGCCTGCAGTGCTGCACCACTTGCCGATATCTGTCTTAATTCTTCTTCAAGTCTTCGCCCCCAATCCTCCTCAAGGTTTTCTAAGCCTTCTACGGACTGCACGCTGTAAAGTTCAAGATCAGAATCGTCATCTTCCAATTCGATATCCCACGAATTCGAGTCTTTTGCGATACCAAGATCAGCGTCTGAATCATCCGAAAGTTCCAGCTTTGGGATGTGGACTTCCATGCGGCTACTTCCAGTTTGCTCCCGTTTCTTGGAAAATGAACGTTTGGATTTCCCATAATGCAAAGGCTCACGAGTGTCTGAAGTCGCCGTTCGATCGTTTGGTTGCTTTTCACCGCGTGAGGAATAATCAGCCCTTTGGTTGAAAGTCGATGAGCTAGAGGTCCACCCATGTGATCTCACTTCATCTGCTGGTAGGTGGCTTGCCAGAGGAAAATTAACACGTGGTCTTGAATCGGCTACACCTACTGCTCTACTGGTAGTTCTAAGGGAAGGTTGACGGAGCAGAATATTTTCAACTTCATCACGTCTCCTATTTTCGTCTAAAATTTCTCTTTCTCTGTTCAATTGGATCTCCTTCTCTTTTAGCCGTCCCATCCATTTCCTCTCCAGATCTCGCCTTTGATTGGACAACTCGCTCTCAAGCTGCTCTTTCTCTTTCATCTCCTTTTCTAATATTTGCTTTTCTTTAGAATGCCTCTCCAACGCTTGCTTTTCACGCGTAATCCTCGCGTTAAGGTCTTCCACTTGTTGACGCTTTAGCGCTAAGAGCTCCTTTTCACGTCTGATATTCTCCTCGATGATACTCTCATAACACTTTGATCTCGCACTGTCTGAGTTATTACTGCTATTTTGAGGACTAATTCCCGCTAATTGTCTAGATAGCTTTTCTTCCACCGCTCGGTGCTTTTCTCTGAGCTGCCAAAGCCTTTGTACCAGGACTCTCCTTTGCTCCTCCAGGTGCGTCAGTTGGCTTTGCAGCATTTCCTGTAGCCTAAGATCTGTAAATTCAGTGGAGTCCAGCATTTTCTTGATTTCGCTTATCATGGTCTCGGTCTCTTGAGCATGGTTTTTGATATCCTCCTCTTGTTTCACTTTGTTCTCCCTAAGTTCGTGAAGCATTTCCACCAGGCCGTCTCTGCTGAGGTGCTTTTCAGGCGATAATGACACCGACATTACACTGCTGTTGTTTACGGAGGCCTTGCTTGTATCGCCAAGCACTCCGAACTTCGTTTTCAAATCTAAGATTTCCTGTCGCAGTTTCAATTCCAGAGTGTTTTTCTCCTTCATCAACTGCTCCATGAGTTTAATGAGTTGTAGCACATGAGATCCTTCACTAAATACTGTCGACTCTCCAAGTCCGTTCATTACATAAGGTGAAGTGTTCATTAGTTTCTTCAGATTTTCATTTTCACGTTTTAGTCTTTCATTTTCAAGTTGCAGCTTTTCTAGTGTTTTCTGACCGCCGCCAAACGAAGTTCCTCGGGACTTTGCGATTTGTTCTCGAAGTTTTTGGTATAGTTCGGAGTTTTCTCGTCGGAGCTTTTTCAGGTCTTCGGTTGCCTTACTTAGATCCTTTTGACACCCGAGTGCCTCTTCTTTACATGTATCGATACGATCGAGAAGCGTCTTTAAGTCCCTCTGAAGACCCTTGACCTCCAAGTCTTTCTTCTTCAGTAGTTCTTCGCTTTCAACAATTTTTGAATGGTACTGTTGGCGAAGGGCGTTTCTTTGTTCTTCCATCTCGTCTTGTTTCTCCCGCAAGAGACGTTGAAACTTGTGATCAAACTCGGCTCGTAATGTTCCTAAATCTTGCATGTGCTCTTCAGTGCGTGTTTTGGACGCGTTCTGTTCTTGTACTAAGTCTTGTAGTTTTTCCATGAGCTTTTTTAGTTCTACAGAGTGTTTATTATTGATTTGGTCTTCCCGTTGTTTAAATTGTCGTTCCAACTCGCTTTTCGTGAAGTCAATTTCTTGTTGATGAGCGTTTACAGCACTCTGCATCTCTTCCTTGAGACTTTGAACTTGATCACTGAGATCGTGGTTTTCAACTCTTAAAGACGCTAATATTACCTCGTAACCAAGCTTCATGCTTTCTGTATCTTCGTTTTCTTCGGGAGGCTCCCTTTCGGCAGACAATTGTTCTACTCGAGATGACAGCTGAACCACTTCAACACCCATTTGTTCTTTCAACCTCTCACATTCCTGAGTTTTGTCCAGTAATTGTGCTTGGAGACGTCCAAACTCTGCTTCGTGCTGACCGTTAAAGGTACTCAACTCTACTTGTGATTCTTCCAATTTAAATTTCAATTCCTCGATCTCCGTTTCACGCTCAGTTTTTGCCGTTTCCAGTTGCCGAATTCTTTCCTGCAGAGTCTCATTTATGAGCTCAATTTGCTTCTTGTGCTCACTTTCCAAAGCTTCTTTCTGAGAAACCATTTCTTTGTCATGCTGGGTTTGAAGATCGGCTTGGAAAGCGCTTTCAAAAATAAGTTGATCTTTAAGTGTTTCTATCTCCTTTTCATACTCCTCCTTGAGTTGTTCCTTCTCTTTTTGCACCTCTTGAATGTCATCTTTGACATTTTTTAATTGCGTTTGATACTGCTCTGACAACTTGGACTCTAATTCAATCAAATCAACCTTGTGTTTCTCCACGAGGGAGTTCGTTTCGCTTTTGATCTCCTCCAGCTCCTTTTCCTTAGTGTCAACTTTCTCTACCAAGTCATGTTTTTCTTTCTCGTAACTTGTTTCTAAATTAGTGACCAGGGCTTCATGTTTGCTCGCCTGCTCTGTCATTAGAACTTCATGTTCCTCGTCCTTCAGTTGATTCAACTGCTCCAGATTTTCTACCATACCTTTCAAGGACGCTACCTCTGCCTCAATCTCCTCGCGGCTTATCCGGTGTTCATCCTCCATTTTGGCGAAAATGTTTTCATAATTTTTCTTCAGTTGCTCCGTAGTTTCGTCGTATTCCTGTTTCAGGTCGTTCTTTATACGTTCTAGACTGTGTACGTACTCCGAGCTCTGGTTTTCCATAAGCAGTTGCATCTCCTTCTCTAATCTAGATACCTTGTCTTTTTCTATACCGAGCTCATGGCCAACCTCCTTTATCGTCTCTTCGTGAGCCGCTATTGTGCTTTCTTTTTCCAACACAGTGCTGTCTAACTCTTGTACCTTGGTAATATGTTTGTTCACTTCTTCTTTGTTTTCCTCCAAAGCTTTCAGTGTAGCTGCTTTTTCATTCTTTTCATATATCAGCTCATCCTCCAACAGTTTTTTCTTCTCTTCAAAAGCTTCTACAAGTCTTTTCCTATCGGCGCAAACTTCGTCCAGCTTTCCTTCCAAATTCGCCCTTTCGCTACCAAGTTGTTCTAACAAGTCGGCAACTCTCTGTTGCAAGGCGTCTCTTGATTCCGCCTCAGTACTAAGCGTACTTTCAAGACTTTGAATTGACAAACCATGTTGTTCCTTGAGTCGTTTATTTTCATCACGAAGGTTTATCAAATCATTCTCCATTTTCGCTTCCTTGGCAGCAAATTGTTGGGTTGTCGCTTTCAAGTTTTCCTCCGCGCTGCTAACCCTCTCAGATGCTTCCTCCAAGTCGCTAACCAGAACTTCGATTTTCTCGTCGTACATGTGCACGACGGCTTGTTTTGCAGCATCGAGGTTTTTAACCGTTATTTGTAACTTTTCCCTCTCGCCAAAGGCGTCCTCTAATTGCTTTTTCAGGGACTCTTTTTCTGTCTCCAAAGTTAGGAGACTTTGTTGATGTTCCTTTTCACTTTCCTCGATACGTGCCAATAAATTTTGGACTTCATCGTTGAAATTCTTTATCTTTTCCTCGTGCGTTTCAACCACTTTCTTGATGTCGAGTTCACTCTTCTCTCCTACCTTGTGAAGTTCTTCCTGCAACCTGGTGACTTCCCGTTTTGTACCGCTGAGTTCCGTCTCTAAGGACTCAACCTTCTCTTTATACTCTCTCACAGACTGTTCCCGTTCCTTCTCGTTTTCTTCATCGTTCGTTTGACTTTTCACCTCTTCTCTATTTTTAGCATTTGATATCATTTCTTCAAGGTCGCTGACTTTCCTTTCGTATTCTTTCACTTTCTCTTCAAGTTTAGCCGCCTTGGCTAATTCCTCTTCCATGTTGATAAACTTGTCTTCCATTTCCTTCAGTCGTTCAATTTCCTCCGTTAGCACATCACATTCTTCTTGCGAAGAGCTGAGCTTTCTGCCGAGGTCTTCGTTAAATTTCATTAGGTCCTTTATTCTGGTTTTCTCCGCAACAAGGTCTTCGTACAACACTCTGAGTTTTCCTTCATATTCATCTTTAAGTTTTTGTCTCTTCGCAGACGATTCTCTAGACAGCTGCTCTCTTTTCCTAGCAATCTGTTCTTCGAGTTCCGCTTTCAAATTTTCCAGCTCTTTCTCGTGCTGACTCAAAAGAACTCCAAATTTGTTACTTCCTTCGTCTTCAAGTTCTTGTATTATCCGTTTTTGTTCCTCTGTTAGTGCCTTAAGACCTTCCAGTTCTTCTTGATACTTTTGCTTCTCCTCTTCAAAGTCAAGAAATTCGGTCCCTTGGGAACCATATAGTATTTCAACTTCTTTTTGAAGGGCTGTAATCTCTTCTGAAGAATTGGAATTTATTTCTTCAAGTTCTTGAATCCTAGTTTTTAATCTCTCGATCTCCTCGGTAAGTTTTGATACTTCCCGTTCGTAGGTTTCCTTCTCCTTTTCCATCTTTCGTAGTTGCTCTACTTCGGCGCTAAGATTTCGCAAGACGTTTAATTCCGACATCAGGCTCTCCACATCAGTTGCATGTTGATCATCATAGATTTTCTTGGTTTCTTCGAGACGTTGAAACTTTCCTTCTGAATCATCTAGCTCTTTCTTGACTTGCTGCAAGCGTTCTTCTAAACTCTGTTTTTCCTTTTCAAACAGTTCCTGGCTCTCGAACAATTTCTTCTGTAACGCCGAGATTTCTTGCGCGTCGTTGTCTCTGGCTTTTCTGTTAGCACATTCTTGATCTAATTGTTCAGTCTTAAGCTGTTCAAGTTCTGTTTGTAACTGATTTACTTTTTCTTCTAAGCTTTCTTTCGTTTTTGTCAGACTTTGCAGCTGTTCATCGCGACTGTTGGCTGAGTTCATCTCTCCTTCCAATTTGGATTTCAAGCTCTCGAGTTCCTCATTGTATTTGTTGTCCGATGCTCTCTTGGCCTCCTGCAACTCGTAATATATGTGTCGAGAATCCTCCAGCTCTTTTTCTAGACCTGCGATTTTGCCTTCCAGCTCCTCGATCAATTTACTATCCATTCCTTGCTTTTTCTGCTCAAGCTCGGGGTTCTCATTCTTCGCAGATTCCAGACGCAGTGTAAGTTCCGAAACATTGCTGTTCAGTTTCTCTCTCTCGTTCTCGAGATTCTCCATTTTGCCTTTCGTCGACTCTAGCTCGGCTGTGACTGTCCGTATGGTAGTCTTCAACTCGTTCACTTCAGTTTCATACTTTTCCAAAAACGTTTTTTTCTCCTCTTCGAGACTTTCAGCTTTTTTAATGTAAATGTTAACTTCCTCTTGGAGAGTTTTTATTTCCCCATCTTCCATCTCCTCGTACGTTTTCTTCATATTAGCCAGTTGGGCTTCGTAGTTTTCCATCAAGGACTTCTTACCATCCTGTAATTCCTGCAGCTTGTTCTTGTATAGCTCAAGTTCACTTTTAAGGGTGACCAAGTACTGTCCCTCGATTCCTTTATCATCCTTGTAGCGTCCTTCCACCTCGTTCATCTTACTCTGCAACTCTGACAGATCGCGTTCATACTTTTCAGAAAGCGACTTATTTTCTTTTTCCAATTCCATACACTTATCTTTGTACGGCTGCAGTTCCTCTTTTACTTCGGAAAGCTGTCTCTCGAACTGTTCTTTCTGCTCTGCTTCAAACTGCATCTTCTCTTGCATAAGAACTTCTCTAGTCCTTTGTTGCACTTCATCCATTTGAACCATAATATCCGATACTTGTCGTTCGTATTTATCCTTTAGAGTCTTATTACTCTCCTCCAGCTCACATCTCGTCTTTCCAATGTCTTCCTCGTACAACCTTCTCCAATGTTGTTCACATTTGTTCAACTTCTCGTTCAGTTCACTTTGGTATCTCTCCTTTAGCTCGTTAGACTTTTTTTCCACTAAAGCCTTACATTGTCGTCGCATTTCCTCCTCTATCATTTTTAATTCCTCCTGCTTTTCGGTCCTAAACGCCTGCACTTGCGCCTCTACCGCATCCATTTGACGCTGATATTCGATAACTTTTTCCTTCTCGGTGCGTAACTCTTGTTCTAAGCTCTCCACTTTAGACCGACACTCCTCCTTGATTATCACAACTTGCTGTTCCGTGGTGTCTTGTTGGATGACAGATCTTCGACGCTCTTCAGATAGCTCTCTTAATTTTCCCAAGAGCTCGGCAACCTCTTGAGAATGACTGTCCCTTAGGGCTTGAATCTGGTCCTCCATGTCCGCTGTCATTTGGTCAAGATCGTTTTGGTATTGGCTCTTCAACTGACGTTGCAAAGCTGCAATCTTCTCCTCATATTCGCCCTTTTGCCGCTCCAGTTGTTGTTCCCAGTCCTCTTCCATTTTAGCGAGACTGTCATCCAGTTCACCTTGGTACTCCTCGCTTAGTTTCTTAGCAACTTGTTCGATCTCTTGTTGATAATGGGCGTGAAGCTCAGTTCGAAGAGCTTCCATTCCGGAAGTGTCACTCTCTCCATTTTGACTCAGGTCAATGACTGACTTCACATTCGCGGAAGCATCTTCCTCACGGTGTTCTTCCACTTCACCGTTAAACACTCCACCATTTGCGCTAGCACCGTTGTTGTTCCTTTCTGCGTCATTAAGTTTTTCTCGGCGTATCTTTTCTTTCAGTTCTTCTACTTCCGCGTTAGATTTTTCGAGCTGCGATATCATGTCGTCCATTTCTACTTGATGTTGATGCGTAAGGCGATCTTTCACCGCCATAATTTCAACGCGATACTTCGTCCGCTCCTCTTCAATGAGACTTTCTGTGTCGTTTTCCCGTTTTTGCAGCTTTGTCTTCAATTCTGCGATCTCTTTTAAGTGTTTACGACCAGATTCGCTGCTGTTCGAGTCTTCGCTACACTCTCCACCTGTACTCTCTTCATTTCTTTCTATCCTTGCTCGTAATTCCTCAAGTTCCTTCTCGTACTGCCCTCTGACCTCGTCGAGGCGCTCCTCGATAAGTTTCTCAAAATCAGTCTCCCCATTCTTTAAACGAACCCGAAGACTTTCCGTCTCTTCTTCGTGTTTGTCAAGTTCCTTTTCTAGCTCCATTTGTGCTTCGACAAGCTTCTTCTGCAGGTTACCGATGTGATAGTTTTTGTCCTCAATAGTGGACTGTAACTTGTGCATCTCTTTCTCGTATTCCGCTTTCAACTTAGAAGGGCTCTCAGGGTCTTTGGAGGCTGATGATTGATTCAAATGCTCCGAAAAGCTTGTGGACAACACCACTAGCTCCTGCGCGTGTTCAGTATTCAGCTCTTCAATTTGACGTTCAAGTGCTTGCACTTCTTGTCTTAACGTGTCCCTTTCCTCAACCACCTACATGATTGAAAAAAATACAACATTTGAGACAAAGTTAGAACAAGATCACGCATTGAAGAAGTCCTAACGCTCTCCGTCTAAAGACACAGACTTAACAACAAAGATAACCAGCAATGACAAAACAAAAAAAAGTCTTTCATTTTGGCCTAAGGAGCTAAGAAATTTGTCTCGAGTATCTTACTGTGCGCCTTACTGAACATGAGCGAAGAGAAATTAGTCAAATACTCCAGAGTGACATATCCATTAACGATGGCATTTTTGACTAAGGTATTGAGCACTTGCAAGCTTTAACCCAAATAATTGCCATATTCACAGGTTTGTTTTAGCTAGAAGGGGACAAGAGTCTTGTCAAATTTATCACTGTCAGACAGCTTCAAGCCATACTAGAAGTGACAACCATTTTAAATACACATATCCTGACATAATTGACCCACCTTTTCAAATCCTTTTAGTTTCAATTTTAATTTTGAAATCTTTTTCTCCATGTGTCGCTGTCCTGTAGACCCAGAAGACTCGCCAGATTGCTCCTCCTCAGTGGACATTAGTCCTCCACTGTCGCTGTCATCCATTTTGAGACACAATTGTCACTAAGAAACTAAATATGAAACCAAGAACTAGTCAGAAAAAGATATATGTATAGGTAATAGCATGATTTTGAGTAAAATTTGGTGTGAATAAGCATGAGTAAATGTTTCAAAGACAATAAAATTGCATGAGCCCATAAGGCATGTGCAACTTTGCAATTTTACACCAAATCACAAGAGAAATCATGTTATTACTTGTTAATAATGTACATGAAAAAACACCATGGAAAGTCAAGACAGACAACATTTTGAAAACGTGTTACAACTATGCACTCACGTTATATGAGAATGCACTCCTTTTAAGCCAATCAGAAGCACATAAGTTCTTCATGTACATTATTGCAGGTGCAACACATTACATAGACACAGGAAGAACTTAAAGGTTATTTTTTAACTGCATGCAACCTAAGAGATAATACAATGGTGTTCTAACAAAAACTACAAAAAGGATTGCTTAGATTTCTTCAGCCTAGAAAATTGACAATAAAATAACAACATCCAGAAATTCCTTTAAGATTCACCAATACATTTGATTGAGACAAACACCCTGGTTCCACTTTAGCAAATGGTGATTTTAACCAACACCTTGAAGTGCTAAAGTGAATTCACTCTCACCTTGTTGAGCAATACATTAATTACCAAAATGGACTTGAAGGTTAATTTTTTTTGAACTCTTGTGCTCTGTCATGAATCTCAGAGCTTCTAGCAGTCTTAAAATTACCCACTCAAATCACTGAACATTAAATTGACATTATTTTAAAATTTGGAAATAACTCATTTGTTCACAAGGTTTTGAAGGATTTGGGGCCTAACATTTATGTGATCCATTTTGTCCAAATAACTGTTAAGGAAAAACACATGATGGATTTTGATGAAGAACATTGGCTCTGGTTGTATTTACAAAACTACCAAGATCTTAATTTTGATACAATAATCAATAGGGGATTAATTCTTGGCTGCAAATTTTGGATCTTTATAACAGAAGACCAAAAAACTTACATGGGTAAGCTACTTAAACACTGTTTAGCAGACAAAAACAAACCAATTTTCCAACAAAACTGAAGTTAAATATATTGTGCTGGTATTTCTCTTAATATTAGTCATGTTTGATAACAACAATATATGTGAAAATTATCCAAAAATTAAAAATATTGGAAAATGTTTTCAAAGAATATGAACAGGCAACATATAATGATGTAACTAGGTTTTCTTATTTTGGAATTCAAATTTTATATAAAAAAAATCATTATTGAATGAATTCAAACTTCTCCCACACTTGATTGATTTCTGTCAATTTGTTTGAATTTGAAATTTAAAAATTTCAGCCAACCAATATTTTGACGTATTTAAGTTTGAAATCGCAATATGATAAATAGGGCCATAAAATTTATTACATGTCTGTAAAGCTGTGATCTTTCATGTTTATGAAATAAATATTTAGGTGTTGCAAGCTTGGGTATTTTGTGTCATGAAACAAAATCTGAGCATGACAGGACTACAAATTTTATATCAAGGAAAGTAATATATATTTCGCCAAAATTTTGTGTGATAATTTTTAAAACATTCTCTCTACTGATCCCCTACAAGTTGCTATTGTTATCAAACTTTAATGATCTTAAATGACTTCTCAGAAGAATTGACTTTACCGATTCAGTCAAGGTAACGTTATTTGCATTTCAGAATGTTTACAGTATAACCCAGTTACCATATTTTAAATATCAAACTATATAACTTTGTAAATATAGGTTAATTCTTGAAAATGAGCCACCAAACAATGGTTTCATGTAAGTCTTCGCTTATTACGTGTTTATTAAATTTTCCTTTGCCGAGCACAGTCCACCTGCTGTAGGGAATTTAAACATAAATTTTCAAAAATTCTATCTTTTCCGAAAAATACGATTGCCAACGATCCAATATTGAAAGCCTGAAGTGTCATAATATATTGGATTTTTCCTTTTCCTCTTTCTATCGACAATGTGGCCAATTCCAATCTCAATTTCTAGAAAAAGAATAAAAATATTTCCATTCTCGATTTGTTATGCACTAACACAATTTAAATATTAGTCGAGTTACCGAACGAACACTCCTATCTTTTTATTTTGTAGCGTGTTTAAGACCTGAAATTGCCCTCAAATTTAACCTCCGGCTGTAATAATATGAATCAATAATTTTGCGTGAACAAAAAATATCAAGGCCAAGAAATACATCGTTCCTTTTGGGAGTCCTGTAGCTAATTGTCACAACAGCACACCAATGACAGTCGGTCCAAAATGTCTTTGGGTAAAAATCAAAATACAATATGACAAAATATTTGCCGAGCAGTGCGAATATTTTGTTGGTAATCGAAGAGTTACTTGGTTTATAAAGTCGCAAAACTGTACGGACAAACATTTAACAAGACCTTCTTGATGCTACTCTCAAAATTCAAATGTCACCAAGCTTGAAGCCATTAGAACGGAAGTGAATTAGCGAACTGGAAGCTAACAAATATTGAGATCAGATGTCCGAATTTTGAAAGTTTTTAACAAAAGTATTTGAAAAGAAGACAATTTGTGAAATGTCCACACCATACAACTGTGCATAGCTTATCTCGATTAGTATAGAAGCGTGCTGTTGCACTTTTGAAAATGATTTAAAGATCGAGATCACATGGTTAGCATCGTAAAACTGAATAGATCCATGGATAGATTAAGACCTTCTACAGCTTAATTCTCGATATTGTAACAGCAAAATTCAAACACATTTACGTAGGTCTCCCTTTAAATAAACTAAATTGCCCAAACCTTCGATCCAAAATGCAACACCTTGTTATTTTCCCAGCTGAAATGTAAACAACAACTGTAAGCTTGTTGGCAACTTCAGTTCGCGGCTTATTTCTCTTTGTTCCAGAACTTTAATCCTGTTTCAGAAGAATCGTGACGACATCTTCGGCTTCCCTGGTGACGGTTTGTACAAAAGGTTCGTCGATCGGGCGCGCAATTTTCGAAACCCAAACAAGTTTACTTTCCCAGGTCGGATTAATAGCGTTGACTCTTCGAAGACATGCCGGTTTGATCTCCAAAATCGGAGCGCTCTCTTTTGAAATCCGCTGATACCCGAACCTTGAAAGTTCTAGGTTCAAATATCAAGGAAATGATGTAACGCTCTTGTAACTTAAATAGAAGAATATCACCATTAACATCAACCTACGCACCATAGCCTAAAGTGACGGTCACGGCGCACGCTGACTTTCGCGAGTGTTGTGATCATGTATTGGCGAGTCAATTAAGAATTGACCAATTGGAGCACAGTATTCGACCACCCAACCAACAGCTCTCTATTGTCTATGATATGAAGGTCTCCAAGTCATTTGCATTCTGTCGATTTTCTGAAAAGAGAGTACTTGATCAAGTATCAGTCGAATGTCAAACAGATCTGACAGGAACGCTTTTTAGGTCCATTTGAGACTGCACGAAATAGAAATAAAAAGTCAACATTGTACATTCTTGAAAAGCATAGGAAACATAGAAGCAACGCGGGCTGCCTGTCTTCCTACTTCATTCAATTGATCACTGAACAAACTGCATTTTTTTTTCGCGGGATTTGGGTCCAACTCAAGAACAATATTTGCCATGTTACGATTTGCTTGTAGCTTAAGGATTAGTTTTCAAACTGTTTGGTGCGAAATGATAGCATAAGTAACCGCATTCAAAGGCACAGATGTTGGGCAGTAATCCTTGGTGCAAATCTCATGCAAAAATGCCTTGTTTATTTGAAACACAATTTGCCTCTTTCAACTTCCACAATGCCTTCTATTTTGCTCTCATACTTAACTTTCAGGCGTAAATTTATCAAATGTTGTGAAACAAAGAACAATAGAACAACAAATTGTCGCCAACAGCGTGTATTGTTCACTTAATGCCTCACTAATCATGACAAAAATCTCATCTAGGTGGGAACCATTACATACTTTCACAAATGATGAATTCGCCGTAAAAGCGCCAATGCAAAAATAAAAAATATTAAAAAACAAGAGACAGCTCAAATGGAATTGTGTATTTATTTTTTTGTTTTATGAAATAAGCGTTTTCTAACTTAGCGGATTAAGTATTGATGCATTTTTATTGTGGACTAAAAACGGAGGGACTGGGGGAGTTAAAACTGGAAATGCACGAACTTTTAAGCAGCGAAGGAAAAGGGCATCATTTGCTTAGTGAGAACCTGCTGCTCTGCATGCAGACGTATTTTCGGCCAGTAAATGCACAGAGCTTCGGGAAGCCGCCATCTTGGATTGACAAAGTCGTGAGAAATATCCTGGTTAAGATAAAAGCAGTGAAGGATTCTCTTCATTTGGAGTTCTCAAACTTTTCTTGAGTTGCTTACTGTTGCAAAAATGGTGGTGATGTTGAGAACAGACAGATTTCTCTCGTACTATTCTGAGAGACTGTCACTATTTGACCAACAGCAGATTTCTATGTAAACTGAGGTGCATGTATTCAACGTTTTCCCTAGTCTGGTTCCATGTAAAACGTGGAGAGAGGTTCACGAGGGATCTGGTACTTTCAGAACTGTCACCGGCTGGCGTCGATCAAGGCCTGGCAAGTACTCGTGGGTGAAGAAACGCAGTTTTACTGAAGCTCTAATCATAAGGGCCTGCAAACTAGCTTTGTCAGCGGTCAGAAACTCTGACCGCCAACTCGCAATATTATTATGAAACCTGCATGACAAGAACCATAACGCCGTGCATGAGCCAGATGCAGACTGTACTTCTAAATCTGTACTCCTCAAACGCGTCAGACGCGATTTGTAATTCCCGCTTTCAAACTACCTACTACCCAATTCTTTGGCAAATTTCAAAGAATTTGGTGTGTCTAAATAACGCCTTCTATCAAATAGGTCCGTTTATCTCTCACACTCCTCATCGGAATCGTCTTCTATTGGAGGGAGAGGCCGCTGGCATGGTATATCCTTCCTGTATTTTTCTCGCGGCTGACAGGCTGAGAGCCAAGTTTCGCGGTAACACAATTTATGGCCGAAAAATTTCCGAAACAGAAGAAATAAATAGCTCTATGCGCATGGAAAGGATAAATAAACCTTGAAACGAATTTTTGAATGTCAACTGTTGTCAGCGTCAGTCCCAGTCCTTCACACCGCTGCTCCGACCACGAGCCATGGCTTGAAAAGGTCAGCTTTTAAAAACTTTCTATTGCGGTTTATCCATCTTTGTCAACCTAGGTCTGATGACCAATTCTTACCCGCAGTGGTAGCGCAAGAGATTCTTTAGGCTAACCAATAACTTTGTTCTTGAAAGTGTCTTTCACCTCCTCTGAGCCAGATTGGCTGGGGCCATGCCAGTTAACCCTTTCATTCCCAGATTTTATGAACTATTTTCTCTATTCCCAATCACTTGCTGCATGACATTGTATTGATATTGTAAGGAAAAATTATGTCTTGGTGACTCATTCGAGCACGCAAAAGGTTAAGCGTGTGTTGGTAGTAAGATAGTAGCAAGGTTAAAATGTTATCTACTCTCTAATCAAAGTCCTTGATCGTTTTTCCTTTCTTGTGATAAGCTAGGTTCGCTTACTTCGGGTAAGCGGCTTAATTGCAACAACTCATTTGGTTTGTCCTTTGAAGGTGCAGTTGCAAACCTAGCTGCGCTGCATTGTCGTACTATTTAGACAAGAGCATGTGCAACCTATCCAAGAGATCGGTTAATGCACGGCGGGCGTAGAAATATCGAATCTTTCTAGGAATGAGAAAATTGCACGTCCACGGAAAATGGCTCCAAACTATATTTTTCCTTTTTGGTAGGGGGTGTTCCCTTCAAATATGCCCGAGTGCAGTGGTCTGACTCTTGCTCGGGTGGGGGCAAATATCAGCCAGTTTTGGACTGATGGCGCCTACTCCTGAAAAGTAATCGGTACAATTTGATATTTTGATAAAGCTATCAAATTGAATCTTACAATACCAGCCGTTTTGGTGTCATAATTAATTTTTCTTATATGTAAGTCTTCAGTTGAGTTCGTATCAGACCACTGTCCACAAGCTGCCCTCATTGTATTCAGAAAATACCACATGCTTACGCTAATCGTTTGCCTATAAAAAAACATTGCGTATTCATGTTTTATATAGTCGTGCAGATAGATAAACTCCACGATATAAATGGTATTGTTCCTCCTTTATGCAATATCCGGCCCCCGGGGGGGTATTCAGATAAACCTGTTCGTCAAGACACGTACCACGTGACAGAATCGAAAGGAGACGGCAAATAGACTAGTGTGTTTTGATGACGATGACCGAAATTCTTGTCACAAAGGGGACTTCTAGCGAAAAATAGCTTCCCAGAAGATAAAGGTGAGTCAAATCGCAGCGTTTTATGCGAAGAAGTTTTACAAAATTTTGAAAATTGAGGATTTATGTCGAAAATTTGTGGACTATGGTTTGAAGGTACGTCCGTCGGCCTGTCGTGTCGCCTGTCAGATGGATAGACCACAGGGGTGTAATGTTTGAAACACTTCAGCCGAAAGCCAAACTAACACACTTTTCGTCACTAAATCCTCGAAAAATAGGGACTCAGTAATATTTTGAAATTCTTTGTGACTAACATGGCTTCATTCCCTACTTTTCGAGGTTAATGTCGTGATCCGACAGCAAATGAAAGCGAACCGGCAGATTATGATCTCCAGGACGCCATTTGTCCTCGAGCGGTGCGCGAGAGTTAAACATCTCCTCTGTTCCTGTTCATCCGTATATCTCAGATATTTTGGGGAAAAATTATGTTAAGGGAAAAAAATTAACAAAAACAAGTTTTTTAGTGGATACTATGGTCGAACTTCAAGATAACGTTGAGTCTTGAAGACCGGTCTTAAAGACCGCTTCAATGCATTATTCACGCACGTTACTAGCACGATATCGTTTAAATGTGAGGCCGAAGAAAAATATAAGATATTAGAAATCTATACAGCTTTGAAATATTATGCTTACGGAAAGACGTGGGTCTTGACCTTTTTGTGATTTGTGGGAATTTCCTGAAGAAATTTGAATCGTTAAGGAACAAAAATTATAAGCTTTTTCACGAAAGGACTGAAAAATTACCGAGTCGTTTAGAAGAAATAATTTTACTATTTTAATTGAGCCAGAATATAGCCCTTTTAATGCAGTTCTAACTATTATTAACAATCTTAATTGGGCCACAAATGAGAAATTTATTGGTGTGTGAACAATCGTCAATTTTTATGAAGATTTAGCTTTACAGTTTTCAAGTTTATTGTTACTGATTCTTGCTGAAATTCTCGTTTCCCTTTTTTTCTGTGCAGCAAGGTGTCTAACAATTTGTTGACTTTCATCATTGTTCTGTTTATAACCTCTTGAGTGCAAAGTGCAAGGCTGTTGTAATCATGAGATAGATATAAAAACTTCCTGTTTCTTCACCACAATTGTCTTCGATTTCCTGGCAGTCAGATATAATTATCGCTGTTAGACATGCTTGGTTGTGACATAAGATCTTAATTTTTTTATCGAAAGGTCACAGAAGAACTATTAATTCCAACAGTTAAAACCTCTATGTTACACAAAAATCTTACCTTATGAATTTTGCTCTCTCTGAGGATTCCAAAGGTCATCAAACTAGTGAAAAAAAAAAAATGCTTATTCTGCACGTATTTGCCTTCGTGAGTGGCATCAAGGGTTTAATTCAGACAGTAAACCACTTGAATGCTCATGCTTTGATCAGGTGGCCAATTTTGACCTGTCCCTAAACCCCCCTAACCCTAAATAGTTACTATTATTTAATTCCTTTATGGAAGATTACTACTGAATCAGTTATGAAGATAGTGATCACAAAGGAAATGAGGACCAATGAAATGAGGTGTGATGATCAAAGAACATAGGTGTATAGGCAGTGATAAGTATCCAACTTGTTTTTCATTCCTTGTTCTTGAGAGGTCACTTCACTTACTAGATCTGGAAGCTTATTTTTCCAACAGATGATCATGCAATTTTTTGTTGGTGCAGGCCACGAATTGAGTTTACTTAATGTCAATATTTCCTAGTTGACTTCTTTCTTTAATACATATATTTTGAAATCAAATTGAAGATGAGTACTAGATTAATAAAATATCTGTATGGACTAAAAAGTCCTGTAATTGAGCGATTGAATTTTGCAGTTTCAATAAGTGGTAATTGAACTTTGTGTCGTGCAAATTTAGTAATTATA